CCTCGAAATTCAACGACATGGTGGCGTCGAGGATAAGAAAGATAAGTTCGCTGTAAATCGCAACTCTATAGTGTGCAACTCTAGAAAACACACGCTTCTCTTTCTTAAATTTCACGGAATTCGATTTCCTGCGACGTACGGAATCCTTCGATAAATACCCTTCATGAGACGGGTTACATCGGGGAGTTTCTCCTTCCTCGATTTTGTTTCCTCGCAGTTTCGTTGCTCTCTTTCTGCGCAACAGAATCTGCAGGCTGTCTCAGAAATTGTCCATAAATTTCGATCGAATTAAAAGTAGCCGTGAATATGTAACGTAGTAAATTTGTTAAATGCTATTTTACACGACTTTCTCTTCGAGAACAAGTCTAAGAAAAAACTTGAAAGAATGCAGTCAAGCGTCTATAGACATTTAGCCCTGTTCTCAGAAACTTTAAATATTCCAATTAATGATACATCGATTTGTAAAATTTATGTCGAATAGATTGAGAATATAAAATCTCGGCATTATTCTCGTAGTCGTTTGGGAGATAAACGATTCACAAAAAATTACAATCTCGATAAACAATCTCGATAAAAGTTATGTTAACGCGTGGCGTGAATATTGCGTGTTATCAGAGAATAATATTGAGATTTTATATTCTTAATATATATTCGTCCTAAGCTTCAGATCAATGTATTATTTATGGGAACACTTAAAGTTTCACAAAATCTCATGGGAAAGGGGCGCAACTTGGTCGTACTCTTCATCGAAGAATCGATACGATTGTAGGGACACACTTGGCGATTTTAAGGCATCTCGAGGCACGTATTTTTAGCGCTTCTATCGAACGACATTTCTCTGATTCGGTGCAAATTCAGGCGAGTTTTAGCGAGTTGACGAGATATATTCCTGGTTCATTATAAAATCGATAATTATTCGATTCACCTTGTAAAACATTGCTACGTGTAGACTCGTACGTGTGAGGACAGATATTTGGAAGTAAGAAGGGCAAACTTAATCTCGCACTCGTTACATCGCGCATCGAGCAAAGGTAGGCGGAACTTTTTATTCCATATCACGTTTCTATTTTGAATAGTCGGTTGTTACGTAAAACCATTCATAAATCACGCCTTTGTTTCGCGCGTTCATCCGTTCGAGCGAAAATCATTTAAGCATTCCGTAACGCGTTCCCTTTTTTCACTACTGCGGCGTAATTACAAAACGTGTGCGCAGGAATATTATTATATCTGCGTTAACGACACGAAATCTCTCGTATCACATTTTGAGATTAAAAATAATAATATGGCATTAATACATAGTGAGATAATAATAATAGTAATAATAGGAATTAGGTAATTGAATTGAATTAATGCGTGCTGAGAAGGATCAGAATTAATTACTTTGAAACGTTCCCCAGCATATTTATGGAAACGCGCACATTTGCACGTCGGTTCGTGTGTATTTGCCTATTAAATCACCTTCTAATTGAACTATAATATTGTTCGTGCTAATGACAACGGATCCAACAAAGATCACATCCAGCGCGCGACAGATGTTCTCCTGAACGAAGGGGGAATCGATTGTTTTACGCGTTCGCGGCCGAAACAGTGGAAACAGACAGAGCATAATCGGGGCAAGTTATGTCCGGATTCTAGCGCTCAGGCTGTCTGTTCCAGAGCTCGACAGCCGAATTGGTCGTCGTTGCGCGTCGTCATCCGAGCGAATGCTGCCATCAGGTTCGCTGGCTCCGATTTTACATGCGTCGCGACGTAAGCGGATTAAACAAAGCGTTACTCGATTCGCGAGATGCACAAAAGCGTCGTGTCGCAGATTTTCGTTCCGCGAGCAACAAGTATGTCACGCTTGTCACGTTGTTGGCATCTTCCGTTCGTGTCGCGGGATTCAGGACACAGGCTCTCCTAATCCCGCGCCGATATTCGGTACTCTCGAAACGACAGAAGGAAGGATTAGAGAGTCGGGCGACTTTTATCCAAATTGGATGAAAAATAAAACTCGAGGGTTTATTCGTTATTTAAGGAGAAATTTTTATCTTTGCTCATGTCAGAGTTTATAAAAATGCAATTTTTATTTGCTAGAATTTTTCTCGTGCGGGTATATCCAGGGTGCATCCGTAACTATCTGGAATACCTTCGGAGAAAAATGCAAAGTTGGTTTTCAAAGATCTTCGAAATTATTTTACTTAGGAGAAGAACGTTAATTATCATAAGATTCTTTTCTAAGTGGAATAACGTCAAAGACCTGAAATTCCGTCAATTTCATTCTTTGCTTCGAAGATATTCCATTTGCTGACTTACTTTGTGTACACTTGGGACAAAAATATTATCTTTGGAAGATTATTGACTGTCAGTCCCATGATTATTCATCGGTAATGAAAATACATTTCCTGCTCCTCATTCTGTTCACAAATGTTTGCGAAAAATATGCGTCGCGTCAAACAATTCACATACATTTGAATGAAAGTGATTCGTTATTCATGAATAACATCCGTTCTGTTCGTGAAGGCGAGCAGAATTTATTCGCATAAAAATTTATTCAGCCAAATTTATTCGTATCATCATTTTGGTAAAGAGCTTATCCGAATAATGCTAGGTTCTGGCTGAGAGGAAAGCGCATACTTTCTCTCAGGTCCTATGGGAATGTAATCATCCTGCGACATCCGGTCGTTCTTTATCAAACATTGTTGCGCACAAGAGAGAATTCGTCGTTAAGCGATCAGCAGGGACTCTTTATGGAAATGTAATGACGGCAAACCGAGATGAGAGCATCGCAGGTCCGATCGATCGATCATTTAGAATGTCCTGTTTGTATGCGATGACACTCATGGGGCGGACAGAGGGCCCAAAGGGCTACACTTCTCGTCTTTTCATACGCTTTCCAGCTTGACGTTTGAATGACGTTTACATATTGACGTATACACACGTACGTGTTAGGCTGTTTAACCCATTTATGTCTGGCAATTTGTGTCTTGTCCGCGATCCAGCGTGTAAACGCAACGCGTGAGCATGTAAATGGATTAAATTTATGTTCTCTCTTATTATTTATGTTATTATCTATTATTATTTATGTTCGCACTCCGACTTTTTACTTAGAAAACAATTAATATTCAGAGAAAGTAGATTTCATTTATACAAAGAAAACAAGAGCATTCTATTTTTTAAAGGTACAATTACTTTCATTCCATTAACTACATTGATACTACATTAACTACTATTGATTAATGTAGTTTTATAACCATAAAAATTAAAAGTTTTATATTTGGTATCGAAGAGATAGGGCCGGGATATTAGTCTTTAGGACCAACTTTGTGTTTTGCTCCGAAAATATTCCAGTAACAGTTATTGATACACTCTGTGTATATTTGCACGATAAAAATTCTAGCCAGCAAAAACTGAAATTGCATTTTTATAAATTTTTTATAATCCCACTAGGATTTTTCGGAGAACATATTTATCGCAGTGGTAAAAACAGAATGATAGTTGGTGTGTGCTCTGAATGCCAGAAAAACTGTTAATTCAATTGAATAAGGTTATTATTAATAGCTTGGTAACGAAATAATTAAACCTTTACGCGCGTATTACTCTTCTCACTATTTTTTTATTCCCCATATTTAAATTGGTTCACGCATATGTGATATTTTTTACTCACATTCTGATTGTCGATAGGGTTTTAACAATATATCATAAAGATAACTACTATTAATCCATTTATACATAGAAATTTGCATTTCATCGCAAGTCTGCGTAAATGTAATATGATTGGCTTAATAATAATCGAAGCGGCGAGAAGCGCGATAGATCTGAGCATACATAACGAAATTGATGCACAACGAACTTTTAATGCGCGCGCGTTTGTCAATTGGAATCAATGCTTCGGTAGCTGTCGATATTTTCGCGGTACTTAGCCGTTTACAATAAAGGGTAACGATAAACGTCAGCGGGAAAATATTTTCTGCTCCGTGCGATATGCGATCGGTTGCTTAAATGGAGCATTATGTAGCACGGACGCGACGGTGGTTCATATTTTGCGGATTTACCGATTGGAAGTTGGAGGGAAGTCACGAGACTCACAAACGTTACCATCGATACTCTGTACTGGAGTTATCGTACTTTAAAAATGCAAAACGGATTATAGGCGACGGTGCCGAGCGAAGCGGAAAGGTTAACATTACAATCGCGCGCCAGTTTTTCGCAACTGATAGACGTTCGATCGATATGGCCACGTCAATAACGCTGTTCGACCAAATTCAACTTCTTGAAAAAATAATAGAGACCAGTCGACTGCACATGCACAAGATATGCATGCATACTAGTGGACAAATTGGAAATTTCTTTGGGTTTCTCCCGATTGTCGAAAGAGAATTAGAAATATAAGCGCGACGCGGGGTACTTTCGTAATTTTCGTACGCGAGATTGTATCACATCGTTCTCTCTGCAGTAGTGTCGTAGGTTAGGTATACAATTCTAGACCAGATCTGACAAACTCAAATTATTCAGTGGATCGCTACTACGACAAATTAAAATTTCCCGCTGGCCACATACAAAATGAAAACAACGTTTCATAAAAATGAATATCAAAATGCAAATGTGTTTTATCCATTTTTATTTTTATTACAACAGAGAAAAAATATTAAAAAATTAATAAATATTTATTAGATGAGTACCATTGATAAATTTACTTAAATAAAAATTCTTTTCATTTAAACCGAGTATTATTTATTTGGTTTAAGTAAATAATATTCAGTTTAAATGAAGAGAATTTTGATTTAAGTAAATATATTAATGGTACTCATTTAATAAATATTTGTTAATTTAAAAATTTTTTTTCAATGTACATAAGAGAAATACTTGTTTTCTGTGATATGGTCAATGGTAAAAATCTTTTACCGTGCCGCGAAAAATAATGTAGCGGGTTGAGTGCAGCCCGTGAGCTCCACGAAGAAGTTAGCCAGGTTTGTTTTAGATAACGATATAATTAGATAACTCTATTCGTACACACTCACCTTGTCGCCTTGCTGCAAGCCGGCTTTCTCAGCAGGGCCGCCTGGCACGGTCCAAACGATACACGCGAAGGTGCGTCCATCCGATCCTGTCTTACCACCAACTACTCTCATGCCGAATCCGCGCGCTGCAACAAAGAAACGCGGAGGACTCGGTGAATGAAGAGTGTGTACGCAGTATAAGCGAAAGAGGCCGCGACGCAAATTTCGTGGATATTTTCGCGGGTAGAAATTGCGACACGCCGCGCGGGAATACGCGCACGTGTTGCTTTGAAAAGGACACCCACGCAGTTTCCCGGTGTTTTCCTCCGTCATGGACTTATTGTATGTGTATTATACGTGATAGAGAGGGAGGGAGGGAGGGAGGGAGGGAGAGACAGAGAGAGAGAGAGAGAGAGAGAGAGAGAGAGAGAGAGAGAGAGA